CTGTCGTATTAACCATTTCAGATTGCAATACAAATGAATAATTTTGCGACATTTTGGTTGCGAGATCCTATTCAGCATGGTAAAGAGAAAAATCAGCACTTGTTACACTATTGAAATTCATGAACACATACTGTAAAATCATAAATTGTCGTGGACATTAAATTTCGTTTATTTCGTTGGGAACAAACAAATGATCAAATATATATAAAAATATAATAAAATAAAATACACTATGATCATATTATATTCATATAATATAAATAAAGGGCGTAGTTGATTAGTCTCTTATTTCATTGAAACTACTAGATAACACAACGAAAGCAAAGTATTGAAAATAATCATATCGTATAAGTACGATAGCCTATTGAGCTCATTGTTTTCTTCTATGAAAATGAGCTCAATTAGTTTTCGTCCACAAGAAAATAGACGATGGTAACAGAAAGATTAATCTGTAATGCTAATGTTGAGGTATTCATAAGGAAACAGGCGGTAATCTGATTTAAAAGAGTATCTAAGTAAAAATAATGTTAAAATATTTACATTATTACCTCTGACCAAATGAAATGTGATCAAAATTTAATGATGATTAATCTATTAGCCGTCATTATTATGATCACTAGTACGTCCCTATTATGTCTCTAAGTCACTACTATGTCTCTATTATGTCTTTACGTCACTACTACGTCTTTACTATGTCTCTACGTCACTACTACGTCTCTACGTCATTACTATGTCTCTACGTCACTACTACGTCTCTACTACGTCTCTACGTCACTACTACGTCTCTACTGTCTCTACGTCACTACTACGTCTCTACGTCACTACTATGTCTTTACGTCACTACTACATCTCTACGTCACTACTACGTCTCTACTATGTCTCTACGTCTCTACGTCACTACTATGTCTTTACGTCACTACTACGTCTCTACTATGTCTCTACGTCACTACTATGTCTTTACGTCACTACTACGTCACTACTATGTCTCTACGTGACTACTACGTCTCCACGTCATTACTATGTCTCTACGTCACTACTACGTCTCTACGTCACTAATACGTCTCTACTATGTCTCTACGTCACTACTACGTCACTACTATGTCTTTATGTCACTACGTCTCTACTATGTCTCTACGTCACTACTACGTCTTTACGTCACTACTACGTCTCTACGTCACTACTACGTCACTACTATGTCTCTACGACTATAGTGAGATGACATACTTAGGTCCAACAAAAGGTTTCTTATTGATAATAAGCCACAACCAGTAGCAGTTTTATGATAATTGTGTGTTTATTATTATTATAATTAATGTTATGGTAGGTTATATTACAATGGTATTAGTGTAACATATATGTATATATACTAAATGTGTAACAAAATCTTAAGTACCAGTAACAGCAGGGACAGTATATAGTATTCATTCACTATACGTCCCTGGTAACAGTTAGCTCATTTGTGTCAATATATTTTCCATTCATAAAATATATTCACAAGGATATTTATGTGTTTTTTTTAACAGTATACACGATACTTATTCTTTTGTGGACACATTGTTTATAAACATTAAATATTAATGTTTGCATATAGGTGTCTGAGTAATACCCCTCCCCCACAGTGTCGCGGCCTACGTGGTGCAGTCACATTATATTTCCGCAGGTCAGTGGGTTTTCCCTTGGTACTCCGGTTTTCCTCCACCACCAAAATATGGTTCGTCCTTAAATGACCTAGCTGTTTAAAGGTTGTAAAGCAAAAACAAAAAAAACCAATAGCTTATGTGAAATACTGAATGTTCGTTAAAGGGTTATCACGGTGAAGTAAAAAAAAAAATTGATTTTTTTTTAAAATACTACATAAACATATCAAGTGAGACTCCTTATGGAAAATGATCGGATTTGGCTGAAATAGATTCATAGAAATGATTAAATCTGAGAAAATCATCGGTATTTCTACCTGTCTGACCAACGTTTTGTTCAGGGATTTCCCTCTACTAGCGCATGCGCATAGCACACCATTTCTTTGTAAACAAAATGACTGGCCGTTTGAAGTAAGCGAAAGAAAAGTGTTGTACCGTGTCAGCTACGAAACGAAAAGTTGCCAAATGGTCAAAAGATAGCGCAAGGAGTACGTTACGGAATCATTATTGCAGGTGGGCAGTATTCAAAGGAGAAAATAACTGCCGTAGCAGTTAGTACGGTGCATGTATTCTTCCGGATAGCCGGTTAAGCTGAAATGGAATCGACAGAAATGCTAGCGCTGTTTATGTTATGAATAAATATCTAAAACTATTTAGCTCGCTAGTATCTTTGTCTGAGTTTGAACACAGATGAACTTAGTTTAATATGTTAATGGGCATGTATCGGAGAGAGTTTACTTTATGTTTCTATACTTATACAGTGGTTTATGCGAAAGGAAGGGATAAGTGACTGGTTAGTTTGATTTTGCCATGAGGCCCTCCAAGGGATAACTGTTGTGATGGCCCACGGCGTATTTTCTGGGTCATCGAGATACGTTCGCTATTAGATTTACATAATTTATAATATTACCGGGTTCAGTAAAATGGTATGATTTAATTATATTGCTGAATTAAACGATTACATGCAAGATTTAAATTAGTACTAATATGAATACCCGGCCTCCTCTGCCCCGGCAATATAAAAAAAATCAGAAAGGTTTGTCCCTTGGTGTAGGGAAGGTGTTTAGCCCTGTACCGGTCACATTCCGGTACTAAATTCAATATATATTTATAAATATCTACTTTATGTTTATGCCTATTATCATTGTTGACATTTAGTTGTAAATGTATGACGGGAGAAGGCTGTGATAAATTGTAAAAACTTGTGCCCCATCCCTTGTTCAATTTTATTGGCAACAAATATGTTTAAAGCTAAATAAATTTAAATTCTGAATATTGGCAAGCGTGCAATTAACTTCTGCTGACGAATGCTTACTGTTCAATAAGTTTGAATACGGACTTAGAAATCATATTACTTGGTTTCATAGCGCGGTAAGAAGTTGCAGTTGCCTGACGGCCCCTCTCTGGGGGCCCCTCTGGAAACCGTTTCATCTCGCTCAGACCACTTGTGTTTACTGCCTAGTCAGGTGACGTTATTGGCGCTATTTTTAGCAGGGCTTTCCCGAACGATTCAAGTTGTCAAACTGGACATTTGGAACGGACTATGAATATGGGAATAGCGAGGTAACATAAGTGGAAGTGCATACAATACATACATTCATTAAAAAAAATATGGCTCTTCACGTGATGTCCCTTTAACTAGCGTTTAAAGAAAATGTAAAATCAATACAAATATAATAATCATCAACGTGAAAGGAAAAGTAGAAAAAAATATCTTAACAGAACGACAATTCTATGTTTCATTACCGTGTGTGTAGAAACCATGGTGACCTGTGCTATGATGCAGACGAGATACCTGAGGAAGAAACGTAAGTTGGTAATACGTGTTCCACTTTATGAATAGACAACTTGTGAATGCCAACATTTTAGAAAAGGCTTTTTTACGGGACAATCATGGTGTCGTCATGCCAAGCATCTTGTAAAGGTGATACAGAAGTATGAATGTGGACAGGATTCTGACAAGTATTTCTTAGAATTGTTCCCCGTGTCCCACATTGCATCCTCGATATCCAGGGTTAGTCGCTCACGTTCGCTCTCTACAACCCACATCCTCGATTTCCAGGGGTTACACTCACTTTCACTCTCTACACCCCCCATCCTCGATATCCAGGGGCTACACTCACTTTCACTCTCTACACCCCCCATCCCCGATATCCAGGGGTTACGCTCACTTTCGCTCTCTACACCCCTGGTATATGTCATAGCAAAATTGAAGGCACGAAGATAGCTATTTGATTGGTGTCAGGTAAAAAAACCTGACCAGTCGTTAGGCTGAGTCCTGTCCTTTGAAGAGTACAAAGGAGAGACGCCTGATTTCAAAGCCTGTCAATTTCTACCGTTACGTGACTGCGAGATTCTTTTGATGTACATCAAAGGATCTAAATAGTATTCTTGTCTCATCAACAAGGTGGGGCACACTGAGCCTTCACTTTTGCTATGACATATTCCAGGGGCGCAGAGAGCGAAAGTGAGCATAAACCCTGGATACCGAGGATGATCCCAGGGGTGTAGAGAGCGAAAGTGAGCGTAACCCCTGGATACCGAGGATGGGGGGTGTAGAGAGTGAAAGTGAGCGTAACCCCTGGATATCGAGGATGGGGGNGCCAAATTGCCCCCTTTTGGCCCTGCCCCTACGCCCCCTAGGGGAAAAGCCACATCATTTGTACAATTTTGAATCCCTGCCTCACCTGAATGGTTTTTATGAAATATGATTGATATCCAGTGCATAGTTCTACAGAAGAAGTCATTTGAAGCAATATGGCCAAATTGCCCCCTGTTGGCCCAGCCCTTCAGCCCCCTGGGGGTCAGCCAAACTATTTGTACAATTTTGAATCTCCACCACCTAGCGATGCTTCCAGACAAATATGGTTGATATCCATCTCTTAGTTCCAGAGAAGAAGTCGCTTAAAGTAATATAGCCAAATTGCCTCCTTTTTGCCCGCCCCTCAGCCCCTTGGGGGGTCAGCCCCACCATTTGTACAATTTTGAATCCCCACCACCTAGGAATGCTTCCAGTCAAATTTAGTTAAATTCCAATCAGTGGTTAAGAAGAGGTCGTTTAAAGAATTGTTGACGTACGGACGACGGACGCCACAGTATGGCATAAGCTCACCTTGGTCCTTCGAACCTGGTGAGCTAAAAAATCGGGTAACATTCAAATTTGGATTTGATTGTTTGACGGTTCCAGGTAATTTAACTCATTCACCCCTACATCTTTAAAATGGACTTGCCAAGCCTTTGATTTGGTAAGGTCTAAATGTGACTTTAGGGGTGAATGGGTTAATAATTTCAGACAGATCTTGTTTCAATTGTTAATATTAACATTTATACTGAAAAACATGAATAAAAGACAAACAACTTTAATATCATTCGTAAAAAATGTTTATTTCTCTTTGATATGAAACATGAAAATGAACCAATTATGCAACTTTTCAAAACAACATTCAAACAAACTCTGAAATAATCATCACACATTCAAAATCATCAGAACCCTGGCAACCTAACTATTAACTGACACTCAATAGCTGGCAAGACATCACGTTTCCATGGTAACTTAAATATATATATATTATTACAAATACATATATCCAACATAAAATAAACCACCTTCAGGCCAACACATGTTACTTATATATACGGCGGCCAGATTCAGACACTTGCTAGGATTCTCCTGGTTAAACTTCAGCCTTGCTACAGTTTTCTACATCACTTTTTTCTTTTCATCCTTCACAATTTCTTAATAAGTGTCCCTTTTACAAGTATATCTAAACCCCATTACAATGCCTGCTGGGTCAGGAGGCAGTATAACAAGGATTTATATAGTTGTTGGGGATGAATATAGAATCAGGGTGGTGAAAAGTGAAGGGCTGGATGTTACGGTGGAGTAGCAGACATGTTTTAGTAGGGCTGGTCTGGGCTGGGTATTAGAGTAGAACATGTTTTATTACGGTGGGACTGAGAAGGGAGAGTGTGATAAAACCAGGATTAATGTGATAATATTTACCCATCCCTTCCCAACAGCTGTTCTGATCAATCATGTAACTTTAATATTTTTTCTTCAGATTTTAATTAACTTCCGTCAAGCCTCATTACAAGCTATGACAGTTTGAGTGAACAAATCCTTTTTTTTATTATCAAGGTAAGCTCAGATCAGAAGTCAGTTACACCCTGGGTTTAACACAGATGATGACCATTGCTAGTCACATGCATCCCACCCCAATATAAATTGTCACTTTAATATTTACTACATTTAATACAATATAAAAAGTTGTGCATTTCTATATTATTCCACTGAACTCTGAACCTGAGAAAGAGACAACATGGCCACTTCTGAATGGTAAAATAGTAAAACTTAGGCAGTGAAATTAATAAACTAACATTCAAGGGACATCACCAGATTACCTGCGACTTTTAAAAGAATTGAAAGTAATATCTTAAAACACTTTTTAAAAGTTGTGCTACAGTTAATGATTTTAAAAGGTTTACAATATTCATTCCAAAAAATAGAAACTTCCAAGTAAAAATAATAATTTCGATAATTCTCAAATAACTATATGATATCATTATGACTTCCATCATTAGACTACTAATCTTTACAGTTTGAAAATATACCCTGGACTGGTACCAGAGCTGCCCAATTGCAATTTTAAGCATGCAGATAAATGAATAGGTACAATTTAATGCACAATAGTACTTAAATTTGTGTTCCATCTACATATTAACAAGACTTGGCTACTTTTTAGAGGGAAGTTTGGTTTGATGTAGGGGAGATAATCTAGTAAGGGGAGGTAATCTGGTAGATGTGTGTCTAGGAAAACCATAACCTTGGTAAATAGCTACACAAATTAAAATATAAAAAAAACATTACTCAAATCAAATATATATTTCTTTAAGATTTCAAAACAGTATTTAATTCTTCGAAACTCTTTAATATAAAAATGGAATTAAAACATAATCGGTGATTAAAATGATGTATTAGTGAAATGCATGCAAACATAAAATTATGATGGATTGATTTCTATTCACATAGTGAGTGAATCGTTATAAACATTGGTTCAGATATGTGTTCTTAATCATGAAATTTTCATATATAACATGTGTAAGTACAAAATGAAACTCAATTAATTTGGCACCCAAGGCATAGCAAAATGGTCTTTCTAACAAAATGGACATCAACAGAGAATTCTTGCAAATATTTCCTGACATTTCTGCTGCCACATCAACAATTCGTCATCTGCTCACGACGTAACTCAAGGTAGGCGTATACAATAAGCTTCAAATGATTAGTATCCCTCTGTCAGCATAAGAGTATCCCTCTGTCAGTATAAGAGTATCCCTCTGTCAGTATAAGAATATCCCTGTCAGTATAAGAGTATCCCTCTGTCAGTATAAGAGTATCCCTCTGTCAGCATAAGAGTATCCCTCTGTCAGTGTAAGAGTATCATCCCTCTGTCAGTATAAACAATAAATCTGAAAATGAATATTTCAATATTGCTCGTAATTTTGAGAAGCAAGATATGGATAACTTTCAAATAGTTGGCAGTATTAAACTTCTGACGGTCAATAAAACATATAAAGTAGGAACAAGAAATATAACTACCATCCCAGAAAACCCAATAAAACTTGCTCAAACTGATTCACATGTTGGTTGTAGTTTACTGGTTGAGGCTGAACACTGCAGTAAATGTGTTGTTTGTCCAAACACTTTTGTTTCTAAATGACAAGAAAATGTTCAGGTATTTCGACAACTGTTTTCACAAATGATGAGAATTAATTATCAATTCTCTTTTAGCTACGTTTAGCATTCAAGTCTGGTTAGGGTGAAGTCATTTACCAGGGTACTGAAATATATTTTTTATTGGTCACATTCAATCTTTTGTTTTCACGCCTTCCAACAGTCATTTTGAGTCCCTATATCTTATTTATACATCAATTTCAATTTTGTATTTTAACACTTTTGAAAATTCAATAGAAAAAACAAGAGAATATCTTTCTTGAAGATAAACACACTTCATATACCAAAGAAATTGGTTAAACCATACATTCTGGACATGACATTCTGATCCACTGAGATGTTACTTTCTCTTTACCGTAAATCTTTGTTTGAATATTACCAATCAGAAAATTCCCTTTATCCACAATTATGGAAAGGATGCTCATCCATCCACGGATTGTCTATAAATAGATCACCTAACCTGTTCCTTAGTGCAATAAAGATGTCTCCCTGAATTAGATAAAATTCAACAGAAAACAAATTTGACTGGCAGGTTCCATATGATTACAAACAAAAACTGGATGAAAACACTGAACAAATAGACTTGCATTACCAAAGGATGGGTTTCTTTTGATTTTTCAATGATTATTGTTTTGCTCCATTTGGGCACATTTTGTTCACGGCAAGATATTTTACACATGTAATCTTAAAACCCCCCCACACAGGCTTATACAATCAAATCATTTAACTTGGTATTGTTTTTAAATATGAGAAATAAACTGAAAATGTTTCATATGTAATATATTGAGTACACTTTGTCCGTTCATCATTTCATGAACACCTCATTTACACAGAGTTGCATTCATTAACCCATGAATGTTCATTTTCGCTTAAGTACAAAATGATGGAAATGCATAGTAAATCTAATCATTCCCCCATAGATTCCCACGATGTCTTTCATCTTAAAACTTAGAACATATCTGTTTAATTCTCAAGCTATTTACACATATATACAAAATCATAAATACTTTGGTTTATATATATTTTCTCACTCTACCGTCTCTCTTCGATACATATGAATATGAAACGGCCCATAATCTAACACACATCTGACTCCATTCATCTCTTCTATACCAAATACTTTTTCGTTTTATGAACACACATAATAAGCTTATTTTTATCCAAAATACAAAAATGTATTTCATTTCACAATTAATACTAGGAATTACCTAGAGAAACTAAACTTAAACAAGATTTAATTGCAAATTTGCCCCTTTGCAAAACAAAACATTTCACCACAATGAACAAGTAAACAAATATAGTGGGTAAGGGAGATCACTCTCACTTAAAAAGGCATACACATTATGAATTATTTCCATAGTTGGCAAATAAAAGTGAACAGGATTTCGTTGAGATTGGTTATCAAGTTACCATTAAATAGCATTATATATCAGTGTCCAAACTGTCGTCCAGGTCATACACAATTGCACATTACAGTCAAGTCATACACAATTGTACATTACAGTCCGATCAAAAAAGTTCAATTATTTAATTATTAAGATATTTCCCAACAGTATTTGATAAATTTGGTACAAAAAAAATATGCTCATAATATCTTACACATAAACAATAAGATGTTATCTCCTAAGTTACTTTCCGCCAGTACAAGGCAGAGCAGGAGAATGTTTTATGAGGATAAATTGTGGGGTGAGTTTGTCCATAGGATTTCATGTGCATGTTCTGTAGACATGGCTATCATTTAAAAGGAAAGCGCCACCTACTGGCCGGTAAGGGGACATAACTCACAGGTAAAAAGTGAGACTATTTCACCTCACTACCTGATCATGGTAAGTTGTTGTAGTTTCAAAGGCCTTATTTCAGGACCTCCTAGCTGGGGTTCCGAAAGGTGATTTGTAAATGATAGTATCAGGTTTTTAATCTCATATTTTTTGGCCTCTACTAAAAGTCTCTCATACAGATCTTCTGAAGGTCATTAATGATGAAACATAAATTCTTCTTTCAAGGGGCTCAAACGGGAGATTTATCACTGCTGCTTATAAAATTTCATTCAATGGCGGCATGTTACAGGTCCTCACAGGGAACTCCAAAGGGAGACTTTTCACTGTTTCATACCAGATCACCCTTGATGGCCTTTACATGTCTTTCACAAGGGGCTCCGAAGGGTGATTCCCAGTGGTGCCATCCAAGTCTCCCTAGGTGGCCTACTACACGTTTCTCCAAGAGGGCTCCAAAGGGAGATATATCACATTGCACAGCAAATTTTCCAGAATGGCCTGTTAAAGGTTGTTCACAAGGAACTCAAATGAGAGAATCATCAATGGTTCTATCAACATATCTCCCTTGATAGCCTCTTACATGTCCGTCAAAAGGGGCTCCAATGGGAGATATATCACTGTTTTTATACCAATTATGCTCGTTGCACAGCCTACAGGCCTCTCACAACAGGTTCCAAATGGAAAATAATCACTGGTGCTGAACCAAGTACCCCCTGATGGCCTCTTACATGTCTTTTACAGGGGACACCAAAGGGGGATTTATCACTGCATTTGTACCATGTCTCCCTTGACAGCTGCTAACAAGTCTCTCACAAGGGGCTCCAAAGGGAAATAATCACTGGTGCTATACCAAGTCTCCCCGCATGTCGTCTACTGGTATGTGATTCCGTTGGGCTGCGTTGCCCCCCTCACTAGGCCCCTCGTACGTGGGATTGCTTATCACATTAGGGTTTGTGTATCTCCCTCCTACTGAACCTGTAACAGAAACAAAACACAAACATAAATAACATTGATAACAATTGGTTGTCAAAATAATACTTTACTATAACAACCTGTTTAATTGTAATTTTTCTGGCCTACCATAGTGTTTACTACATTAAACCTAATAAATGTCCTATTTTTTTCAGAAGCATCCCTGTCCTTCCTCTCTTAACCATAATGTATAGACTTGAAAGAAGGGCCTATTATGGGGACTTTTGGAAGGTCCATCCATCATTCTAATTACAAAATACTAAGTCTCTATACGATTATTAGGTAGACTAAGTACGTTTCATAGAGGTTTTATTTGACTATTAATTATAGATTGTGTTACATTTATTCCATCCCCCCACCACCAACACGTAATGTGTTCCAAAGCTAAACCTTTAAAAGTTTGAGATGGTGAAACTAAAGTTCTTAAGCAGATCTCGACCTTACGATTTGTCAACAGATACCACTGACAATAAGAACAATTTTTGAAGTATTTCTCAAATGATTGATAGAGACACAAAAGTAGACGGGAACTCTCACGTCTCTAACCTGTTGGGCCAACTCTAATGTAACAAAATACATAAAATTCTTCTATAAAAATTATGAAGAATCGGTCTTCACAAAAAATATATATATACATATAAATATATACTGTATGTAGACTGGGAAATTTTCACCACATTTAAACTTTCGCCTTTTTCATCCTCCACAACAGGGGCAAATTTATCATGGCAGCGAACATAAATACACAGCACGGCACATATGGTCATTACTTGTGAAGGGTGAAATAAGACTGGATTTTACCGGTGATGGGCAAATATTTGACTGGGTGAAGGTTTCCCAGTATACAGTGTAGTATTCCCAACAAATAAGGTGTTTCTAAGTTACTTATGACACAGGCAGGAATCATTGAAACACACAGGAAAAGAGCCATGCAGTAGCCATGACAACCGTATCTAAATGGACAGGATCTCAGTCACAACTCGGCACATAGCAATGTTATAAAATATTGGTGTTCTTGGCCACAGCTTGACATTTGTTGAGTAGTTCAAACTGAACATAGCCTCAATCGCAGTGTATGGTCCTGGTCACAATTTGACATTTGTCAGATATATTCAATGATCAAAGTCTTGTCATATACAATAAACATGTGACCGTTCCTACCTGGGGCCGGAGCGTATCTAGGCTGCGGCGTATCATCAAACATGTGACCGTTCCTACCTGGGGCCGGAGCGTATCTAGGCTGTGGCGTATCGTCATAAAGAGGAGGAGGAAGGTCGTCCACATCGTAATTCCTGGCAGGAAGGGGTGGAATAGGGGAGTGACCATAGTTATTGGCCACACCCTTACTGGAAGATCGGACGGGTGGGGGAGGGGGAGGGGTCGTCCCCAGCCCATTACGACTTGACGATCGACTTGAACGCTGGTCAGAATAATCTGTCACACTCTGTAAAGCGGAAAAAGCAAAAAGGGTTGTGAGGAGTAGAGGGAGCACATAACAACAGGGAGCCTTGTCACACTAACATCCAGCCGTCAGTATCCGCAGCTTACCCGACACAATGCCAGGTATAATTTAAACTATTAAAAAAAATTAAGTACTGCAATTGATTTGGAAATAAGTCTGGGATTCAAACATTTACCATCATGTAAATCACAAAAATATGTTTTTTTTTATTGTTTTATTTTGACAATTCAGAACCTGATTATTAAGTTTTCCAGATTATCAAGTTTCCTTTATGTTAACTTGCAACAGGGAATTTGGATTTGTCTATGTTAGTATCAGGTATCAACTCTATTTGTATTGTTAATGTTGTAATCTACACATATATATATATAATTAACATATTCCAGAAGTTTTTTTTTTTTTTAGTATGAATCATCTGAGGATGACTCGGACTATTCCCTGGCATATCACATTTTTTACTTTCAGTTATAATAAACATAAAAACTATAACATACCAAACATAAAATCATACATATTAAATTGTGTTATTAATAGAATGAAGATTGGAACAATAAAGTCTAGATCATTAAGATTTTTATTTTTTTGAACTTTTGGTTAACAACGCAAATTTCCAACCCAACACTGGAATGGCCTAAGAGAGATTTTTCTTCTTAATTTTCCTATATATATTTTAATATATGTATTTAACACTTCACAAAGCAGAAAATAATGAGTGAACTAAGATGCCGTTACATAGATCACTCCACACCACACACGAGGCAGCGCTAGGAAACAGGACAATAGGTTTTATACTCGTTTAAACGTGGGTAAGGTATGGGTAACTTTGGTCAGAGTCATGGTCAGGTTTGGACGAGGTATAAGTTACCTGTGTCCTAAGGATGATAGTTGTAATATCTCTTCTGGAACACATCACCAATCGTACCTTAACTGTTGAGTTTTGTTTTTACTAGATTGTGATGGATTGTTTCTGATTCTCATGTACAAGAAATGTTTAAAATAGAGAATTTGAAATTTAAGACCAATTTGTCTTTTATTCTAATACAGAATTTCTTTTTTGAACAAATAGTTAAACATTAATTGTACAACATTCAAAAACATTTACTGGAAATCATTATTTAGGGCACTGAACGTATCAAATAAATTATCATTATTAAAAAAAAATATTTACTGGAAATCATTATTTAGGGCACTGGTCTGAACAGCACTGAACGTATCATTATTAACTAAAAGATCAAACTGTTAATGAAACAAACATTGATAATTTATAGACAAAATACATCGGAAAACAAATTAAATTTACAAATTTTTAATAAGGGTACGACAATTGACAACCTCTTGTTGACAAACACAAACTTCCACACTCACACAGCATCAACAGTCAGATATATTAGGGCTTACCTTCGGCCTGGTTTCCGTCCTTCCGTTGTAATCGTGAAAATGTGTAGGAGAATGTCCATTGGTTAGTGGGTTCATATAGTCACTATCAAATGTTCCCTTGTTTCTACTTCGGTACGGATCTACAATGGACAAAGGAATACCACCTACAATCCAGGTAAAAAATCAGGTACAACTTATTTCAATTCAAACAACATAGCAATATATAGCAAGTCGCCACATCATGAAAGATGACCTCAATGTGACCTTGACCTAAGGAACAGACCTAAAAGTTGTATACAGCACATCACCTTGCTATCCTAAATATTTCTCTAAAATTTCATTTAGCTATTTTCAGTGAGTCACAAGTTATGGCCCGGACAAAGTTTTCTGAAGGATGGACAAATCAGCAGCAATATTACTTTCCATCTTTTTTCTCCAGGGAACATAAATTTAGAGAAGCGATAAGGTAATGCATGTCAATGTGCTGATAAAGCAGCGTAGCAGGATGGAAACGTGTAGATTCACAGGTGTTAGGTATGTTGATGTTGATTAGGTATCAAAAAGTTTTAGTCTGGAATGTAAATGGTTCAGACGTAAGTATTCATTATCTTAAAAATAAGTTATCTAAATGAAATCCAAATTACTGTTGATTCAAAAATGATACTGGCTGGTATGGGGCAGGAAACAGGGCTTAAAACTCTCAATCTGATTTCCCACCCTAAAAGTTAATTTTCTCATGTTTGAACTATCCTCTAGAAATATCTACCTGTGTCAATATTATAAGCAAGGACCTGGGACAAACAATGTCCAGCTGTGATGAGGTTAGACCTTACATCCTTTCCATCTAGTTGCTACACTTGATTGGATGTCTACACCTGTAGTCTTACCCTCATATTGCCACTGTGCAGCCTGTCGTTCTTCATCTAAATATGGCCGTGTGTCGGTCAGGAAAGATTTATGGGTATTTCCTAGATTAGGAGAGTCCATTTTGTTTGGCGTATACGATCTACTGCTGTATCCAGGTGGAGGCAGGAAAACTCGCTTAATGTCCTCGTCCTGTAGTGAAAACAAAGGTAGGTTAGAGTTATCTTCTCTTTGTAACAGATTTATAGTTCCTTTGTTATGTAGAGTTATCTTCTCATTAATACAGAGTTATCTCCAAACTGATATATTCCAGTAGTTATCTGTCCATTATCATGTAGTTATAATACCGTTGATATAGAATTATCTCCCCATTATTATGTTGAGTTATCTCCCCATCATCATGTTGAGTTATCTCCCCATCATCATGTTGAGTATCTCCCCATCATCATGTTGGGTTATCTCCCCATCATCATGTAGAGTTATCTTCCATCATCATGTAGAGTTATCTCCACATCATCATGTAGAATAATCTCCCCATCATCATGTTGAGTTATCTCCCATCATCATGTAGAGTTATCTCCCCATCATCATGTAGAGTTATCTCCCCATCATCATGTTGAGTTATCCCCCCATCATCATGTTGAGTTATCCCCCCATCATCATGTTGAGTTATCTTACATCATCATGAAGAGTTATCTTCCATCATCATGTTGAGTTATCTCCCCATCATCGTGTAGAGTTATCTTCCATCATCATGTTGAGTTATATCCCAATCATCATGTTGAGTTATCTCCCCATCATCATGTAGAGTTATCTCCCATCATCATGTTGAGTTATCTCCCCATCATCATGTAGAGTTATCTTCCATCATCATGAAGAGTTATCTTCCATCATCATGTTGAGTTATCTTCCATCATCATGTTGAGTTATCTCCCCATCATCATGTAGAGTTATCTTCCATCATCATGAAGAGTTATCTTCCATCATCATGTTGAGTTATCTTCCATCATCATGTTGAGTTATCTCCCCATCATCATGTAGAGTTATCTTCCATCATCATGAAGAGTTATCTTCCATCATCATGTTGAGTTATCTTCCATCATCATGTTGAGTTATCTCCCCATCATCATGTAGAGTTATCTTCCATCATCATGAAGAGTTATCTTCCATCATCATGTTGAGTTATCTTCCATCATCATGTTGAGTTATCTCCCCATCATCATGTAGAGTTATCTTCCATCATCATGAAGAGTTATCTTCCATCATCATGTTGAGTTATCTTCCATCATCATGTTGAGTTATCTCCCCATCATCATGTAGAGTTATCTTCCATCATCATGAAGAGTTATCTTCCATCATCATGTTGAGTTATCTTCCATCATCATGTTGAGTTATCTCCCCATCATCATGTAGAGTTATCTCCCCATCATCATATTGACCTATCTCCCTATTATTATGTACAGTTATCTCCCCATCATTGTGAAGGTTTCTTCCAATTGTAATACAGATTTACAGTTAAGTTGATCTTGCACTGATGTAAATTTTTATCAGCTTGCTATTAAAGATTTCGATTGTTTAGAATTAACCCTAATTTCCCTTCAGTTCCAATACTATCAGAGATATACACAGTAAGGCTATGATACATGTGAAATATATATTGTTATATTGTGCACACAGTTCTCAACATTGACATCTGTAAAGTTTATTGATAGACACGATAAGCATGTGATGTTTCTCTGCCACACATTTTCCATGTTTATATGATCTCATCCCATAACACAATCACTCCTCACACTAACGACACCTACAATATACAGTCAAGCTTCCTTAAACTAGCTGCTATGGCTCTGAAGGACAAAACTGAACAGATATTCAAGTCTTTGGAAATTGGAATCATTAAATCAATTGGAGACTCCTTGTGCACTTTGAGGCATTGTTCTCAACAGGAGATTTTTTCTTAATGCAAGATATTATCTTCTATTGGAGATTAGTCCAGTAGAGATATCGTCCTTGACATTGTTCTCAAGTGGAGATTCTTCTAGTGCATGAAGACATTGTCCTTCGAAGGAGATTTCTTTGAAGCGTGAAACCAAATTCTTAAATTTGAGGACTGATTGTACCAGGGATAGGTGCAATATATATTTACAGTGAGTGCACACAATGAAACAATATATAACCTGTACATCACTTTACGAGGTAAAACTTCACCGATATATCACCCTTATAAGGAAACACACTACATATATACTGCGTGGACTCTCAGTGTGATGTGACACATACTGTGGTAACACACTACATATATACATCGTGGACTCTCAGTGTGATGTGACACATACTGTAACACACTACATATATACAGTGTGGACTCTCAGTGTGATGTGACACTTACTGTGGTAACACACTACATATATACAGTGTGGACTCTCAGTGTGATGTGACACTTACTGTGGTAACACACTACATATATACAGTGTGTACTCTCAGTGTGATGTGACACATACTGTGATAACACACTACATATATACAGCGTGGACTCGCAGTGTGATGTGACACATACTGTGGTAACACACTACATATATAGAGCATGGACTCTCAGTGTGATGTGACACATACTGTGATAACACACTATATATATACAGCGTGGACTCTCAGTGTGATGTGACCCATACTGTGATAACACACTACATATATACAGTGTAGAGTCTCAGTGTGATGTGACACATACTGTTGTAACACACTACATATATACAGCGTGGACTATCAGTGTGATGTGACACATACTGTGGTGACACACTACATATATACAGCATGGAATCTCAGTGTGATGTGACACATACTGTGGTAAGACACTACATATATACAGTGTGGACTCTCAGTGTGATGTGACACTTACTGTGGTAACACACTACATATATACAGTGTGTACTCTCAGTGTGATGTGACACATACTGTGATAACACACTACATATATACAGCGTGGACTTTCGGTGTGATGTGACACATACTGTGGTAACCCACTACATATATACAGCGTGGACTCTCAGTGTGATGTGATAACAAATCTAGTGGTCACATACATGTCGTTAGATACTGGGCCTAATAGTTCAAACTATTCTCAGCTTACTGTGGTAACAATCTAGTGATCACATACATGTCGTTAGATACTCAGCCAAATGGTTCAAATGGCTCTCAGTTAATGAAAAAATTTAACCATCAATTTGTTTTTCATGGACACATCCAAACATTTTTTTTCTTAAAAGTAATATGCTGCTTAGAATCATCAAAAAGAAAAGAAAAGAAAAAATATAAAGCACTTTAGGCATTTTAAAAGAATTGAAAAAATAATAAAAAAAAAAAATGAGCGATCAACTCATTAAGATAAGATTTTGAACAAGTGGCCCTACAGACTTACAGCTGTGCCCTGAGCTACACTGACCCAACACTGGGTGTATCACTTTTTGAAACAAGCATGTTGATTGGTTGATGTTAAGATTCTTTTGACAAATCAAATAATTGAATACATCATACTCTTTAAAACTGCAAATTTAAATATAGTCAAAGTATGCTGTGTCCTTTAAACAAAGCAGCATAATTCATTGATGAGAACCAAAAATATATTAAACCGGCTTATCAATTTTAATTTATGGTGATAGTGAATGCTTGCAGTGTACAATGGAACCACATTAGTCCGGAGTCTGATAGTCCAGGAATCTCACTTCCCGGACATCCTATTTAGAAACTGAACCACTTTGAAGCAGAAATTTTCTGTTTTAATGATCTGTAAAAAAGCTGATATTCCTGGCAGACTTTTTGAGGAATCAAACAGATAAAACTGTAACTGTCCTGATTAATGAGGTTCCACTGGTGTGTGTGTGTGTGTGACCAGGCCCTGTAATACAGGTGATAATCATGCCACGCGTTATTACCCCGGAGGAATCCATCGACAGACAACTACATTTGCCGCCGCGGGAGACAGTCTTCACCTTGACCTGTACACAGTTACAGGTGCACTGACTACTGTGCATGCTTTTCCTGTCATGCTGTTAGGGAAAGAAACAAAGGTCACAGAGGTCAACATGCAAACAATTCAACACAAGCATGCAGAATAAAATGTTTGTCATGCATAGCAGAATCAGAAAAATTCACAGTGGGTGTTTATACGGGGATAGGATCATTCGATGGATAATATATTTCATACGCTATCTATTGTAAACCACTTATACTTTGAAAGACACATTTGCAGAGAATACCATTAGTGAGGTTAACATTTCTGGACTATTCCAGTGTGTTGTATCTACAGTTTTGGCATCATATAGTAGTTCTATATAAGATATAATATAAATTTATATTTTTTTTTGGGGTCTAATTACAAGAATTCATGTGTGCACAAAGTTTCATTTAGCACAAAGATGTTTTCAGTGTTTGTATATCATATAACCTTTCAGTCACTTCAGAACTGTCATACATGTATAATGAATTTTTCCTGATCTTTACATGAAAAGTTAGACCATACCCAGTCTTCAATCTTCAAAACAGCCCAAGATTACTAATTGGCCATTTATATAACTAATAAGGGATTTTGGAACAGGCTGCAATTTATCAACAGAAAGAAAAGTTCATATTTGTATCATCTTCATCAGAAAAGTCAGATCGGGTGTACAAGGTTTTATTTACTAGTTAAATTTATCAATTTTTAAAGACCTGTTTCTGCTATCCATGATCAAACTTAAAACACAAATCAGTTCATAAAAAGATCAAATTATGCAACAAATTCAAACGTAGGAACACAGTAAAAATTCAAAAAGTGACACCTGGAAATTGAAATTCAGTGCATGACAAGTTAAATTTTGAACCAATTTACCGGGAAAAGTGTGTTAATATTTGTGACACAGAGAAAATGTTTGGTGTTAAACCCAGAGGAGTTATTATTGAAAATATAAACAGATATCTGACGCATTAAAGACAATTAAGAGTGTATTTAGTACATTGCTGCACAAGCTAGGACTCCATATGACAGGCAATGCAGTGCTTAAACTCATAAGTGTCAACCTCTGAAACCTCCAATTAGGGAGATCTCCCTCATTCTACATTTCCAACCAGAGAGAAAGTGTGTGAAATACAACATAAACTGTTTTGCTCAATTTATTTTCCCCTTTTAATGCATTAAGATCACTCCAAAAAGCATTCATTTGATTCTGACACACCTGTTATGATCATCACACCCTGCAGTAACCAGGAGATCGCTTGACCACAGGATGTAGAGTTCTAGTTTGTGTGAGTTTGGACTTGAATGAGGGAGTTTCGAGGAAAAATTGGTAAATTTTGGTCAATATGAAGGAGTCTCCCTCCTAATGACGGATGGTTGACAGCTATGTAAAATGATGGCTTTAATTAGTAGGTGCACAAATTGACAATCCACATTAAAAATATTCTAAAACCCCTATAAAACATATCCTACTGTTTAGCTAGAGTCACGTCTGTGGTGTTGTACTGTCTAACCATAGCTTAGTGTATAGGACAGCATGAAGGATTTTATATTAATCAGGCTAAATAGCTTCCAAAAATCTTTAAAAGAAATCAAGATTTTTTCCCTGCATTTTTATCAAATATATTAAGTGGCACAAGCTTGGGTTATATTGTAAGACGATGCCCTAAATGAAGAGAGAACGGAAGTTATCCCAGAGGTTAGATGAGAAACAGTCAATATTTCAAAACAACTCGACCAAAAGTCATTGTGTCAGATTTCAAAATAACTCAATGAAACAAGGGTAACTTTAAAATGAATTTAATAATTATTTTTAAAATTTGTCCCTTCATAATGTAATGCTTGATATAACAATGGCTAGGTTAGTTAAGATCTATTTTGAAAACATCACAATTCATAGCTCTTTTTTCCATGTCTTGTAAGTATTATATTTATCGTTAATGACCTTGAAATGGGTGGAGTGCTTTGAAATAAAAGAATTAAAACTGAACATTTTTGAAATGAATAACATGAAAACATCACGGTAAGCAAGTGATAAAAAACTGTTGTTGAGGTGTACCGTGTCATCGTGGTTACTGGGGCCAGGCATTTCTACCAGGGGTTGTAGCCAGACTGGCTTTGGTCTCACCACACCTCTACCCTGTTGCCATGGAGACAGGCAGTTCATTTATAAAATGGTGACAAAAGTAACTCCACTTGACAAACAATGATATAAGTTTAGATAGGAAACTGAAAATTAAAATGATGTGGTAATATCATCAAAATTATCCTAGAATTCCTAAAACTGTGTTAAATGTTTCACAACATTACTCATATACTGACATAATTTAATATACAGTTTGGGAACATATATAACAGAGGTAAAATGTGTAATTTAGGAACTATCATAACATAAACATGTAATCCAGTGTAAAACTCAATCCAGTTACATGTGGTTTTCATTCTGTCATATCCAGTCGATTTTCATCAGCTTGTTTTACTCATTGTCCAAGAAAAAACACAAGCAAATCAAATACAAAACCACACACGAAAAAAAAAAAATCCTCATCAAGTAATAATTATAAAAAAGATTTAGGAAGGATGACTCTTTGGCAAATTATTTTATAATAATTGTTGGAGAAGAAATATATTAAAATTTGAATTTAAAATAATTTTTCAAAATACTATTTTCTGTAACAACTTAGAATTTTAAAAAAATGAGGTAAGAATTAAGAAGATTGGGTATTTTGTTCTCAACTATATTAGTGGGGTAGATGGTAGTGTAATTATGGGTGACCATGCATTGGGAGAGTTGTCTACCCTTGTTCTGTCACCAGCATGCATTAAACATGGACATCAAACAGTGCAATGTTACCATTACTTCACTTAACTGTAGGTTACATACAATTTCTACAGAAACATTCCTTTCTATTTCTATTTCTTAACTTCATATTTCTATTTCTTAACTTCATATTTATATTTCCACAAGTAAAGAATGGCAGACATGATTCCTTTTCCTCACTATCCCAAAATAAAATTTCAATCAAACCAATTTTAAATGGGAAAACAAATTTCGTTTTTGAAAATTTAAGAACAATAACTTTGAAAGAGTAACTTTCAAAGTTATTGTTCTTAAAAGAAGAAATAATAAAAGAAGATTGCAATTTTGGAGTCAGGAAAGAGTGCTAAAATTGGGTTGAATAAATATAACTTGGTAGTGCATAATTAAAAATAGTAAAGGTGAACAGGGTGCTAGGATTTTATGACATACAACCAGAGTGTTGCTATGGTAACCAGGAAAGATTTTTTTTAAAACTAAATATGTTTATAAACCCAGAGACAATAATCTATGTAAGAATTATATAAAGTAACCTTGTGTATGTTCAAACAAGAATAGTCTACATATGATAGTTTTATGAATAGAGGTGTAAATATTTTAAGTTCTATAGTAAGAATACAAGACCGAATCATTCATGCGTGCATTTGTTACAATGGAAGTGACCAATGATTACCCATGCATGTTGCTTTTTTTTGGACAAATCTGTCTTTATAAAACTAAAACACATTCATAAACAAACATACCTCAAAATTTTTATAATCATCGGAGAAATCATCCATATTTTTTTCGTATGTGCCGTAGCTACGGCTGTCGTCTGATGGAGTCATGGGGTACAGTGCTGTCTCCTTGGTTGGGCCATATAGCTCGATCGTGTTGGTGTGACTGGTCGTGTCACTGTTGTCTGTAGCAGAAACAAATCCGATATATACTGAAAACAATGATGTTTTTATACCCCGCTAAACTTCGTCCTTGTTAACCCATACTCTCCCATTGATATTGATACTTTATTTACACCTGGCAGATTTTATACATATCAGCCTCATACAAAATGTATCTTCTTGTAAATGTGTCTAACACACTAAAATTGAAAAGCAGAAATTCCCTGATCTACAGTAAAGGGTCTCCCATGACTTTCCATATGTATCAAATATACAGAAAACATTCTGTTTCCGTGGAAACAGATGTGACTTACTCTCCAGCCTCTTTTTCCTCCTCCTGACAAAAAAGAGTATGAGTCCGATGTTGAGAGCGAGCAGGAAGATGCCGACGACACAGACGACGAGTATGATAATGACGGGTGTATCGTCACTGGTCTGTATGGTGGAGGCGGCCTCACCTCCCAGGGCAGACGCTACAACACACAGGTTCTCAATTACTTAACAGTTATCAATAACATAACAAGTCAATGAATCTTACCTGCAGCAGGCGTAGCAATATGCTTACATTTCAGACAATATTGGTTGCATATAAGATAGTGTCAATAAGATTTATTTTTTTAAATATTTTCAATGATATTTTATCCCCTTTATCCCCCCTACATGGATATATATACCAAACAGGAGATGCGTGGAATGAATATATACTAGTATTCAAAGTATTTAATAACTTACCGCAAAAAAAGTGGACATGGACGCAGATGCTCGGGTACAGTATAAGCTCATGTTTACTCATAACCGTTGAGCGTATAAAACTATGATCTGTTATACTTATTTCTGAACAGTTAGTACTATTAGTCAAATTGTTGGCTCTTACTTCATCTAGTACTTCATTTTTCTGTATTGGGTATAAATATTGAGCATCCTTTGTTAAATACAAAAGTATGCCTGGAATTGTTATAAACACAATAGATCTGTTCGGTACATATACACCAAACTTGTAGCCTCTCACCTGAAGTTTTGACCTCTATTTCTGGAGGTGACCCTTCTGCTGGTCCAAGGTCATTAGTGGTCAGCACTGCCACAAGGTAAGAGGTGTCTTTTCTCAGACCTGTAGGTGTTCATAATTTGATTAAAAAAGAAATTCTTACTACAGCTACATTTCAAATGGTTGCTATGGTGTTGACCTTTATAAACAATGTAACAGACAGTTTAATGTTACTGGTTGCTATGGTGATGATCTTTATAAACAATGTAACAGACAGTTTAATGTTACTGGTTGCTATGGTGCTGACCTTTGATGACAAATACTGTGGTGACCCGGATGTCTATGGGTGTGATGTCAATGTGTGTGTATCCAGGCCGATTCTTCTCCTTGTACCTGACCTTGAACCTTTGCGGGAGTCCACCGTTAAAGCCAGGGTTCCAGGAGATAGTCAGCATGTCATGTGTGGCATTGATAAAGGTCAGCTCCCCAGGCTGGTCCGGTCGACCTACACACAGAATCAACTATTTATATATCTTATCACAAAAAGAATTATGTATCAAATCTTAGCCTTAAAGATTATTTTCATAAAAATAAAAGCTGACAAACCACAAAATGTTATATTTTGTAACAAATAATCCTTACTAAAACATCCATTATATTTCCAATAACTCCAGCTGTTTGCAGCATCGGTAGCAGATTTTCTGATTTGAGACCTGAAGTATCTCTATTTACATCACAATGCAGTGATTGATTCCATTTATCTATTGGTTTATGTAGCTGTTGTTTATATTTTGTTTACATTGTGGACGAGAAATCAATCTTACTTGTGCCGTCCACAGAAATATCAAATGTGTCCTGTCCCTTCTCATTGGTGGCGGAACACACGTATGTCCCGTACTCCGTCTCCGAGATGTCCGATATGGTGACGACACTGCGGTATTTGATGGTGTCTACTTTTTCAGACTCTATGTGGTACTTGCCACCCGACATGTCACCCTCTCTCTGTAAATATTTACAACAGCTTTCATGTAACCATGGAAACAGTAAACCAATCACAATTGAAGCTTCCATGGAAACCATCTGATCAGTCACCATACATCTTTGGAGTAAACATGGAAACATCTGACCAATCAACACACTGCAAACATGTAACCAAACAGTCTAATCATTCAAAACATATACCTCTCGGGTAACCATGGAAACAGTTACCCAATTACAGGACAGGTAAATACAATAACAAGGTCTCTGAAGGAACAATCTTTGGGTTGAAACTTTGTTTTCAAAGACCAAAGTTACAAAATTAAGTCACTTGAGTAAAAATAAAAAGTTACATCAATTTTTAGACTGTAAAAAAAACTAAATCTAAATAAAATCTGCTGACCCTGGAGGTGGTTTTGTTACCTTGATCCAGTCGAAGGTGACCTCTGGAGCTCCCTCGGCCAGACAGATGAGCTGGACAGTTGACCCGTGGTCACCAGCGGCCTTGGAGTACTGGGCGGTGTCATCAATGATGGGTTGGACTGAGGGGGCAAAGGTCAAATGAAGGATGAAAATGAGCTGAAATTTTGTTAACATTATACATACAATGAGCAACACTTATTTCCTTCCCGGGAAATAAAATCAAGAGTAGTGTCTCCTGTGATTAATGAGAACAGCTTAAGGTTATAAACAGATTTAAGAACATGTTTAAACCTCCACCATATTTATTTTGTTAGGACATATTTGAATCAAATGCAGTTACCTATTATCACTGATACAAGTTTCACCGGACTTAAGATTCTCACAATGATTTTCAGTCCACCATTTTTTTCTTTTGGGGGGTTGAAGGGTTGTCAACTGTAAGTAGGGGGACCAGTTTCTACAATTAGGTCATGATTTATATTACTCTCTCATGAACCTGAATATTTTCATAATGCTATCAAGTTCATACTAAAAATCGATGTAATTTTTTGCACATTTCCCAAATCCCTCTTATTTCACATACATTTTTGGATATTATCATATTATCAATCTAATGATTTCGAAAGCCAGGGAAGAGGTTCAGAAACAAGTTTACAAACATCAAGCCTGGGCTCAAAAGTGCTGATTAAGACCCCCCGGCCCGTTGGTGACTTAAGTATATCAGTGAGTTTGATGGTGAAGTGAAGTAGCATAGCTATAGGTATATATCAATATAGCAGAGTGAGTATATATAGTTTGTATATAGAGAGTTAGTAAAGCTATGTCTGAGGAAGCAAGACTACCACTCAGTAATCACAGCTCAAGGAAATATGCAAGTGAAATAGTTTCTATAATCAGTGAGTTAAAGCAGAATACAAAGTATACTATTTGTAATCGTTCACAAAGTTTGAGTGACCTTAATTTGACCTCCAGTCTTCATTACATGTACAAAACTAGGTACAGTAAAACCTCAATATAATCCCCTCATTTCATTTTCCACCTCCTTTATTGCCGATGCATTTCAATATTCCTTTTTCTTGTTTTCTTAAGAATTCCTTTATACATTTCCCTCCATTTATCGCCAAACCCCTATATAACACCGAAATCTCTCTGAGCAAATGGTGGCAGTATAACAGAGTTTTACTGTAACAAAATCTTGATAATTTATTATGTAAGATAAGAAAGCATTAAAAGAATTCCACCATTATTTTTCCGAACAGAGCAAAAAGCCACATACATTTAACAATAAGAATGGCCTCCATCACAGAGGGCTGTCCGATCTGGTTGTCGGCCGTGCACGTGAATGTGCCTGTGTCTGTCTTCTCCAACTCGTACACTGTTAGATGACCTTTGTTGTTCTCAAAAGCCTGCTTTGTCTTGGACATATCAAAATCACTGCGGGACCATGTGATCATGTTGGATGTGATGGGGTTGGCGTCGGCGATGCACTCGAAGAAGGCGGCACCACCAATCTCCTCCTCCACCGGGCTGGTGATTGTCGTGATGGAGGCGGCATCTGTGGTAACCATGGTGACAATGTCGCTCATAAACAACCGTGTTACTGTGATCTCAGTGCTACAGACACTATGTCCCCATTTACATTAGGCAATCTATCAAGTTTAAAGTCATTCTAGTGTTCTGTATGTAGATTCTCGTTCTCCATATAGAATTGCATAATCTTACTAATAGTTTGCATGTACAATTCTTACCCCCTGCTTTAGGGAGTTAAACTAACAAAATAAATCTCCTAATGAAACTGAAATCTGTTTTTTGAAAAGGCATAACATGTAACATTTGATAATATGATGAAAAGTAAGATTTCGATGAATGGTTTACGACCATGTAAGTTATATAAAGAAAGAAAGGACAAATTAGTCTAGAAAAAGCAGATAGAAATTCTAGCTGTAGCTACGTCTAGGAAGCTGTACCATCACCCAAGAAAAGTATCAGATAACAAATAGCCAGAATTCATTTCAGTTATAAAATATAACTTTTCAAGTACCTATATTTTAGTGTTATGTTTGCAAGTTATTTGTGAGTGATTGTCATTTATTTTTCACATTGAGGCTGTTATTTTAAAATTACTTATATGCAAAACATGATAAATATATGACATGAAAATCAGATATAAAATTTCTTTCGCAGATTGATTGATATTTTGTTGCTTTTATTAACCCTTTTACCACTGTAGACCATAATAAACTCATCCATATCAATGCATGGTAGAGTCAACTAAAGTTATATAGGGGTGAAAGGGTTCAATACTATCCAGAGAGTACTTATGAAAATTAAGAGTGAAAAGTCAAGTTTTGGTTTGTTGTAAGCTGATCAGATTCTGGTTTGGAAAACAAAAAGAAAATGCATGTAAAAACATGACAAACCAAATAAATACTGGCCATTTCTATTCTAGATTATTCTAATTCATAATCTTTTCTAATTTTTCAATAATGAAAACTATGAAAGCAACAATTTTAACGGACCACAAAAATTCTCAAAAAAAGTGTTCTGTAAACGTAATATTTGAACTTAGACAGAGAATATTGACTATAATCATAAGCTAGGACTATTAAGCGCTGAGATATTAATTTTAAAACCAGATAGGTCCCTTATTATCATTTAAACTTGACATTTCCCAAAGAGAAACAACAAATATCAACACAACTCATTCTAAGAATTTGTGCCTTCTACCAATGAAAATATTCACTCAGACAGGTTTAACTAGGTCTATTAATAGGAACACACTAAGCCAAACTTCTTAAGGCCACCCATGTTATTTGTACAGCCTCAAGGTGAAGGTCACACTTCAAAGTCACACAATGGCAAGGTCAGCAACAGTTTACATATATATTAACCCAACAGCTCAAGAGAAAGTAATAGCCCTAATGACAAGATCACTGATCAACAAAAGGAAAACATTTTGACACTCTAAAGAAAATATTAAAAAACCTCAGATTTTAGTTTATTTTACTTTAAATATTCTTATTTTCCAGTTGATTAACTTAAATTTAACACACTATATCTTAAAATTTCGAAATCAAAACAATAATATATATTATACTGGAGTTCTTTCTCTGGATGAAAATATTGGAAGTGATATTTAACTGTAAATCAATTTTATAACGTAGAGTTTAAACAATTATTTTACCCACCGTTTGAAATAGTTTCCTTGTAATATATACAGAATAAATTTTCCCATAAATTCAAGTAAACTGGGTTCACAATTTAAATATTGTCAGGAGAAATTCAATTCTGACCTATGAACCTATTCTTCCAACAAAATAATTCAACTCAAAGTCTCAGTGAAAAAAAAAGAAGACAACATAAACCGTTTGATAGATAAATAAGCATTTAAAACTGAAACAAGTGTGATGAGATACATGTGATTATCATGTGATTATCATGTGATCTATATACAGTGTATTGTGACACATGCAGAAAAGAGTATAAGTTCTTGGTGCATTTACACCTACATTTATACATAACAGGAGTTACCTCCCCTACCCCATGTGAATTTTATCACCAGAATCGAAAACACCTTGCATTTATTGGTTGTAATTTTTTGGTATGGATTGTTGTATAATGGTCAAATTTATTGCTAATAAACTATTAACCTGAAATGTTGAAATCACATATTTGACCAAATAAGTGCCCAGGTACACTTGGATCGGGCGAATGATCTTGAAACTTTAAATAGGATATTTATTAGGTTGAATGTTGTATTTGAAAATTTCCTGCCCACGTTTCTTTACCATGGACACATGAAATGAAACTAGTAACTAACAATTATTTTTCCTAAAACAGGGGAGTTAAAAAAGAGATTGTACTCATATAATCATATAATGCACCAACATTCCTGACTAAAAATACATTAGTTTACATTACTTTAGAAAAGCTTGGAAAGTTAACCTTGTATAATTCCTTTGTAATTTTAAATCCATGAAAAATTAATGAGAAATCTGGATTATTTTATATAGATATATATATTGTAATGTGTATGGCAGCTTGTGCCTACAATCTTTTTCTAAACTGGTTTCATGGTCAGTGTCGGAGATCAAAATGTTGACACTTCTGTGCGTATAAGGATAACATATTCAAACATTTTACATAACAAAGACATACTTTTGAAATAAGAGAAAAGTACAACGGCAATCAAATAAAACTGACTGAAGCCACATCACAAAAAACACAAATCTACTAAAAACTGAAATACTTTAACCCACCAGAATGCTGATTTTTCCAACATCCTTTCTAGATAAAATTCATATATTCCAAGAATGAACCCATGATTTCAGAGGACAGTACTGTTGTACTTACAGAGGACGTTTAGCGTGAAGTTGAAATGTGACATGCCCTCCGCATTGCGAGCTTCTAGACTGTATCGCCCCATATCGCCACGCTGGATATTTGAGATCTGCAGCGCTCCACTGTCGAAGGTAAAGCTATTGACGTCGCCCGGGACGCTGACCTCGATCCCGTCCCGGTAGAACTTGTAGGTTAGGACAGGTGGGTTAGCTGCGGCCGTGAGGTTTACTGACCGACTGTCTCCCTCTGTGATCTCGATGTTGGCCGGAGACATGGACAGGTCAAACACTGGGGCGACTGGTGGACAGAAGGAGGCGGGGTTACAACTGTCTAAACCCAGTAGTCAACACTAGCCTAAATCCCCAACCTTCATCTCAAAGCTGATGTAGTTTTAAGTTATCCAGTTATAAAACTTCTATATACCTTAATTTTAATATGGATTCTGGATACATGTTTAGCTACATGCATATTTTTATTTAGATTTGATACATTAATATTTTTCCTTATTTATTTGTCACTTACATAAATTTCCCCCCTTTTTTGTTTCAAGTATATTTCCTATTTTTTATAGTCAACAATACATTTTAAATTTCAATTGTTCTTATTTTCTTATTTCAAATTTTCTTTCATTTACATTCCTTCCAGAGTTTCATTAGGCCCATGATTATTCCTTCTTTTGTCTTTTTTCTTCTTGATTTCTTAAAAGATTACACACTGCTCAAACATTCTAAATACATTATTTATTTTCTGAATATTAGTAGCACATTGAAATATGTTCCCATTATTCCATATTTTTATACATTAAAAAAGCTTATGATTTTTTTTTACAATATTTTGTTTTGTTTTCCACTTATGAGATGATATATGATTTATAAGCATTAAACACAGTTGCATTATCTAATATGGTCATTTTGACGACAAAGGCATAGAATGTGTTAGTAATTCTGATAGATTCTATGTTAGGAATATTGTTTAGGAACATAACAGACTGATACTATAAATATTTTATGCCACTGCTCACTTCTCTTGTATCATTTTTCTAAGATAAAAGGAGATTTTGAGATTTTAGATACAAAACTGATCAAAGTGAAGACTAGCTTGAAGCTACACTTACACATTACACTAAGGGTGATAGCATCATTAACTTTATCTCCAATCACCAGGTTTGTGGCCTGACAGTGATACTCTGCGAGATGGTCAGCGGCCGTCGGCGTGATGTCCAGAACGTTTGTGGTGGTCATCCCACCATCGGTGGAGGGCGATTTGTTGATGGTCACTCCCTGACGTAGGACATTGTCTCTGACCCACATAATGGCTGCCGGAGGATTACTGGACGCTGAGAGACAGGTAAGGCGAAGATGCTGACCGGCCTTGGGTTCTGAGGGGTCAGCGGTCAATGTCACGCGGGCAGGGGGAACTGTGTGAGGAGTGAAAATGAGGTAAAAAGAACCCTCCTAACAGGATTTCATACAAAAAAATAATTTGTAACACTTACTTCGTTTAATACATATCACTTTCTGGGATGTTTGAATACAAAAGTATGTCACAAGTCACTTCCTAGGATAGTGATTTCTGTTGGGTACTACTTTCCATTTTCTTTCACTATGTAAATCGATATGCCAGATAATAACTGAGTTTTTTGATCATAGAAAAAGTTGGTTCAAAACAGTTTTGATTCTGAAAAAATAATCATACATGTTTTCGGCTCATCCCTAAACAGGAGATATATCTAGCGGAGGCTTTTAATTCTTCCATAATGCTTAACAATTGACAGAATGGGGACATTTTGTCTAATAATTATTGAATATTTTGACAGGTTTTTTTGAAGTTGACAGGTATATACTTTATTATTTAATTTTGCCAATTAATTACTCTTTTTTCAGTTTTTAGGTTGAAACCCCTTTATACATAACTGGCACGTTTTTTGAAATGCTCATTTCCAATTGGTGACATAATAACGATAGAAATGTAATGCATTTTGTTTTTTGTTAAAAATAAATATCAATTATCTCTGCAAAAAGACGGCGTTTGTCTACTAAACAAACTATGGAATAATCAAAAATTATTTCATGTTCTGCCCAACACTGCTAAAAATCTTAGCCCTTTTTTTGGTTCATAAACCATTTTTCAAATTCATATATTCTATTTTGGTATACAAATCATAATCAGAAACAAATATTACCCATTCGTTGGACAAATTCATTGCGATCAAAACTCAGTTATTTGGACCTGTTTTTTCAATTCACATTATAATCTTTCTACAGTTTGTCTGACATGATGATGATTATTTCTAAAATGATTGGTTTTATTTTAAAATGAAAATCTGATGGCAAAACTGTACAAGAACTGAAGTGAGATTAAAACACATATACTTTACAAATACTCATTCTCCTGATAACATACAGAATAAAAACACAAATCTCACGCCGTCACTAGTCGCCATTCTGTATATAAGGACATACAATATGCGTCAATAGCAAAACCCTTCAAAATTGTAACCCTGCCAACTCTGCCAACTCTCAAGAAGTTTGAATTGATAATTTCCCAACCACTCAATCAAATTATACATCTATGGATTTTTTTTTTTTTTAAAGCTACGATTTTGCTTTTGTCTGTTCTCAAAAACATGATAAACATTTGGAAATGAAAAACGTTAATATAAGCAATGAAAAACCAAATTTTCTGTTAATAGATTTCACTTAAATTACTGTCACACCAGCGATCCAATCACAGTTATCTCCCTTGAGCGACAAAAAATTAGCAAGAAATTGGATGAAATATTTTAATGGCATATTTTGAAATGAAATCATGTAGTTATTTTTAAAGTTTATAGGTAATAAATGGCTCATTACCATTTATAAACCCTTTGTAAGTCTAAAGAAAAAAAAGAAAGAAAAAGTTTTCTGTTTTTTGTTTGTGTGTTTTTAAATCTTTTAGCAAAACAGCCCAAATCACCATTGGAAGGAGGCATATTTTGAAGTCTGGAAACTTAAGGAAAGAAAATTGCCACGTTTCTGAGGTTGATCTGAATGTGTTTTATGAATTGGTTTAGACTTTTAGTAGAACAACACGGTTACAAGCACGAAGGGTTCTGTAGTGACGCCACAGCACAATACACAATGTGCTTGTTTGGGGCCTCATGCAGTGTGTGAGTACGGAAACACACTTACAGTAGACAGTGAGCTTCTTCAGGACCTGGAGCGGAGTGGGCGTGGCTTCGTTGGACGCAGTACATTTGTAGATGGCGTTGTTGTCCCCAGGTGCCGCGACTAAGGTCAGTTCTGAACTAACAATACTTCCCCGTGTCTTTGTGGTGGAGTCCAACAACTCATTTCCTGTTTACAATAGAGGTCACTGATCATTATGTCAAACATTGTCAACACAAAACCAGATAGATCTAACTAAAGCTCTATTGATCATTAAGATTTTCAAGATGCAAAATTCTTCCACACAATAAGGTTTGACTGCACAAAAAGTAATGAAAAACCCATGGAAAGACTTGAGAGAACATGATACGTAACACTGCTACTTGTAACCTGGGAACGTCATCAGCAAGGGAGAGCACCCCTGTTTGTCCACTGACCTTTGAACCATTTGAGCGTTGCCATGGGGTTGCCCCCTGCTGAGCTACAGGTTAACCTTTTGACGTCCCCTGCCTTGAGGAAGTCTCCCTCTTCGTATCCTGTGATAACTGGTGCTCCAGGCGGGTCTGAAGGAACAAAGACACCCAATTCATAAACAGACTGATATTATGTGAACATTTTCAAATTAGATGACTGGACAACATCCACTTGAAGGTGATCTGCAATATTTATTAAGGTTTGACACGCTAGGTTTGCCATCATCAGAACCCGACAGGCCATCTTTTCTTTTTTCACAGTAATTTCGATTACTTTTCATGCTCGACTATTGAATTCCATTAGGAATCAATCTACGGAAGGCTTCCAAATCTTTGGAACTAACGGAACATGTACATTGGATCTCATTTTCTTTGTATGTAAAAACATGTTACTTTAATTCCCTTTTTATGATCTTCTGATAGATCTACAATACTGAAGTTTGTACAGTCCATTTGGTCACATTATTCACTCAAGTCTCTATTACTTCCATAAGGAACAAGTACCTACTGGGTAAACCTAAAATTTGTAGTTTGTGACATCTATGCTGATGATTACGATATTCTTAATTAAATTTCGATGCTGGCACCACATAAACATTTCCCCTCATTGTCTCTAGATTGTCACTAAAATCACCACACAACCCACGAGACAAAGAAACAGTTCTCTCTCCCCTTCTCTATCACATGGACACAAACAAAACATAGTCTGAAGAAGAGTTCTGATTCTGCCGTGTTGTCCACGCTCCAGTCGCTCCTACAGAGTTCATTGATGAGCTATTTTTGTTGGGACTCTGTATACTAACAGTACCTAAGGAGGTGACCATATGAACTGCACCAAATTTTATTTGTAACAGGGACGCTGTGTCTCCAACCCCCTGGAGTGGTAGCATGACAAAGTCCAACCCATCCTCAACAAATGTACTAGAGTAGTCAAGGACCCATCAAACCTTGAAAGTCCCAAAATTATTGTTAAGGAACACTCAAATCCAATGCAGGATGTGCTAGCCCTCATTAAAATTCTCATAATTAGTTAGAAAAAATAAATAAGCAAAAGAGAAAAAATATCATGATGTCACTGAGATGAAAGATTTTCATGTTCATTGAATGGACATTTAAACCCCGTGTTGGACTACGAAAGATCCTGTAGTTTTGAACGTGCACCAAACTTTTGTTTCAATTCCCCTGATCCTTCATTAAAAGTCTATTATTTTTCGAGTTTCCTATATTTTATCAGTGTTTCTGTCGATGAAGTTGCTGCTTCGATCATCTCCAGTCATGTGATGTTCCTCCATTGGGTTTGTGTGTATCATTTTCAAACTAATTTGTACCAACAGACCGTCTGTAGTATCCTTATCAGTACATGATTAGACTTAATTACTGATTCCCATAACAGTCATGTTAAACCGTATCCTTTCCTACAGTGCCAATAAATCTCTGATATTTGATCTTTTAATAGGAAATGTTCATTATTTCCACACATTACGATTTTGTCGCGCATTACGATTTTGTCAAGATAAAATATGTGCAAAAACAATACAAATAATCACGATATTTCTTCGGCTTAAAACAAATGATTCTAAATGTAGGTCCGACCTCAATGCTTGTTAGGTATTGATAATTGTTAAAATGCCGAAAATCTAATATGATCAGGAAAGCAATGTCACTGTAAATTATGACATTAAACAGTTCGCGTGGACACATAAACTGCCCAGCTGACAAAACACAATGTTGTACAACGGATACTGTTTCTACGTAAAGATTCCCACAAAAATCGGAGAAATCCCTTTAGATATAATGTGACCGCAGATGTGGTAACCGTGGGATAAACCACCATTAATGGTAGGCACTGAGCAGGAATTGCTGCATCACATATCACCCTGGAATTATTACACAACAATGCCTCACCTCGGGACACGATACCAGTCCCGTGAGGTGGAGAGTTAGGAAATACAAATTATTTTATGGCTACAGATATCATAATAGCGCTGTAATTGGAGAGAACGGTCTCTGATGTAACATAAACTGATTAGGAGGGAAGGAGACACAGGGGTACCCCCCCCCCACAAACAGCTGTTGTATCTGAATTAGTGACAAAACAGTATTTAACTTAGGGAATGCTGGGTATGTGTGTTTGTGTCAGGACTAAGTCTGACTGAAGCATCACAGATAGTCACTGGATCAAAACTAACTTTTCCAAAAAAAATACCTTTGATCCTTGTACAACTAACCAAAGAGCAGATTGACAGGTTTGTATCAGTCTCTGATTTGACATTTCTGCATTTGGGTGATTTTGATTGGTCAATAAGTAATTTTTTAATTATTCTAAGTGGCTACAATTAGCAGTAATTATGAATGAAGTTATCACTTTTCCTGTAGTCAGACAGAAAAAAGAGGTTTAATGGGCCCGTATTGTTCGCCTGGTGGAGGGCTAGTGATTGTAGATGGTCAAATGCCTTAACCACTCTGCCACCGCGCCCCCACAGATTATTAAAGGATACAATTTATCAGTCATATTTTCCCCTTATTTACTTTTTGTTTCAAATGTTATTAATCCTCAGAAAAATACATGGTGGATGGCGAGTTGCACAATATCACCTACATGTTGAGACAAGAGTTGATGATAACTAGTGTACACAGAGTTCTTTCCCCTTCCTGGTATGACAGGAAGTATACAGAGTTCTTTCCCCTTCCTGGTATGACAGGAAGTATACAGAGTTCTTTCCCCTTCCTGGTATGACAGGAAGTATACAGAGTTCTTTCCCCTTCCTGGTATGACAGGAAGTATACAGAGTTCTTTCCCCTTCCTGGTATGACAGGAAGTATACAGAGTTCTTTCCCCTTCCTGGTATGACAGGAAGTATACAGAGTTCTTTCCCCTTCCTGGTATGACAGGAAGTATACAGAGTTCTTTCCCCTTCCTGGTATGACAGGAAGTATAAACTTACACAACACACTGAGAGTGACGGTGTCGGTGACAGGCTCGGATGATCCATCGTTCATCGCCTGACAGGTGTACACAATCTGGTCCTCGCGGTTCGTCAGTGTCACCCTGATTAAGGACCTTGTGATATATCCCCCATCATCCGATTCTTCTACGTGACTTTGAGTCCCCGCGATCTGTCGACCTCGTACCAACCATGTGACCACAGATGCAGGGTTGCTATTGGCTGTTTCGCACGTGAGCTCCACCTCCTCTCCAGCTGTTGCCAGGCGATTTCCAGATATTGTAACTTTTTCTGGTGGAACTAACAGAAATAGTCATATTGGTTAATACAATACAATTGTATATCCTAAACAGAATAGTCAAACTTACGTCCTCCAATCAGCGCTGTTCTATTCATGCCTAACTATAAATATCCCCAGAACAGAATTGAGAATCTGTGTTTAACACGCTATGCATCAAAGTTTGGTTTATGAATTTATCCATAAAATATTAACTTTAAAATAAATATCAAATACATTAAGTCTAATTTATTTTAATTGTGCAAATTTTGAACAGAATTAAAGTACAGCGAACATTAGACATCTTCCTCATTTGAACACTGTGACGTACGTCTACTTACAGTATACAACAATCTGAACTTGAGCCGTCAGAGGGTACTCTGTCGCTGCGTTCGTCGCCTCACATCTGTACACGGCGTCATTATCAGACGCCCCAACAGTAAACGACAGTTCATTGATTGAGCGGTCATTGGAACTTGAGTAAGAAAAGTCAACCTTGACATCGTTTTTAAACCAGACGACTTGAGCCAGAGGGTTACCTCCCCTTGACACACATTCAAGGTTCATGGTTTCCCCTCGATGTACTGTCTGTCCTCGACGATAGCCTGTTATCTCAGGAATGGAAGGCGGGACTGCAAAAAACAAGGGTTCTCAAAATATAAGTTATGATTCTCAGTCAACAATAGCCTAGATGTCAACTCCCCTCATTAGGAGGGAGACTCCCTTATTTTAACAAAAATTAACGAAACTTCATCATTCAAGTCCAAACTCGCAAAAACTCAAAATCTACATCCTGTGGTCAAATGTTCTCCTAGTTACTGCAGGGTGTGTGTAATGATCATAACCAGTATGTCTGAATCAAATGAATGCTTTTTAGAGTTATTTTGATGCTTAAAAGAGGAAAAATAAGTTGAGCAAGCAAGTTTCAGTCGCTTTTCATGCACTTTTTCCCTCATTGGAAATGTGGAACGAGGGAGATCTCACCTGACAGTAGAATGAGGGAGATCTCACCTGACAGTGGAATGAGGGAGATCTCACCTGACATTGGAATGAGGGAGATCTCACCTGACAGTGGAATCAGGAGATCTCACCTGACATTGGAATGAGGGAGATCTCACCTGACAGTGGAATCAGGAGATCTCACCTGACA